TCCCTTTGGTAGCCCTGAGGTACCTCAAGCCTAAAAGACTGGGTGAAGGAACACTGATTTTGAGAATCATGTTTCGCCACCTCCAGGGCTGCTTCTGAAGCTGGATTGTGGAGCAGTAGTGATGTATAGGAGTCTTGGCTCCTGCAGTAGAAAATGAAATGCTTCTGGGTTGCTGAAATGCAGTTTAAAGATATCTTTGCACCTAAATTTATACTTACACATCTCTCTGCGCTTTGCGTACTCCTGGTTGTCTGGGCCTTACTCTGCAATACAGTCTTAGCCAGTACAGTTAAGAGTGACTCCAGGGCTGATTTTCAAGCCAAATTTGCTAGTCATGGAGACTGTTGACCATCTGGAACAGCTCCTGGGCTGGCTCTGAAGCGATCCAGCTGGTACTCAGGCACTGCCTGGACCTCACTGTGGACAGGCTCAGGCGTTGTGTGCCCAGCCCAGCTGCTGCCTTGTATTCTGGCTATCCTTGCACTAGTGTCACGTATTGTGATACAAGATAGCCTGGACTCCTTCCTAAAAGGGGCCAGACATTCTCTCCCGGAAGAGAAGATGACATTTGAAAGCAACCTGAATTCAAGCCAGGTTTTTACTGCTTACAGAAATATAGCTTAGCCTGTGGGTAAGGTACAGAATAGACATAGCTTGTGGGCCTCAGATCCCCATAAACAATGCAAGGAGAGATGTTTCCCTGTCATAAGAGTGTTGTCAGGATACAGACATGTTATTTTTTGAAACACATAGTTAACAGTTTTGAGGGATATACCAAAGACAGAAATAACAACTTTCTTTTTTTTTTTTTTAAACTGAACTAGATTTATCTGGATAAACGAATAGTTTTTATCTGAGTCTTGTCTAAGTTGGTCATCCATGGCTATCTAAAGTTGGTAAAAAAAAAAAAATCTGTATTTTTTGGCTGTGGTTCTTCTGACCTTCTCAGATGTTTGCTTTACAAGTAGAAGAGCTGTGCCCTAGATCATGTCCTTGGTTGTAAGTGGATGACTAGCTCAGAAGTAGACACTTACAGTGGCTTCATTCATAGCCTTGTTGTCTAACTGAATACCACCAGGGCACAGTAATGGCAGTCCACATGTATTCAGAGAAGTTAACTGTGTTTATAGCTTCATTTTGATAAGGTTATAGCAGAAGCAGTAGCTGGTTCACAGCAACCTGAAATACTGAATGGTTGTTATATACAAAAGACTAAACTGTGGTTTAAGACACAACCTCAGAAACTGGGAATATGACTCCATAGCTCCAGCAAGGATCTTGAACAAAGTTGATTAGAGAATTTCTGTCAAAAGAGATTTTTCTAGGGGAAAAAAAGCGTTTATTAATTTGTGTCTCTGTGATATTTTGCTAGTTACTATATAATGAAAATCCCATGCCACATAATGATGTTTTCATACTACACCATATGCCACTAAGTGGGGTGGGTGTGTATTTACAGTTCTTGCAGATTTACTGATAAATTCAGCTATGGTTTTTATAAGTCTTGTGAACTGTTGGCCTAGTTTTAAAACCTAACTTCTTTTCAAAATTTAGTATACTTTACCAGTAGACAAGCGTTCTGTTTTGATTGAAACTCTTTTTAAGTTAGAATAGTGGTCATGAGTATTCTCAGAGCCAGGCTAGCATTGGCTGCTGTAAGCTGACCATGACTGATTTTCAAGTTTCAAAAGCTTTGTTTTTGTTAAGACCTCATCTGTGGACATTGATCATGTTCAGATCTGCTGGAGCATTAAAAAAAGAAAAAAGAAACCTTTAAAGTTTGAAAGGGTCTGACTTCACTGGAAGCAATAATCAAGAGTGGTGTTGCCAACAACTAGGTAGAAACTGGCAGCTCCTACAATGCCGTGTGTCAAAGTCACTGTCTCCCACGCTCTTAAAGTTTAGGCCTAACTTAAATAAAACGTATTTTTAAAATGCGTATTTTTAGAATGATTTTAAATTATTCTTCCTGAATTTTTAAGATTTAAATACTCCTGAAATTTTTCTTTTTTCTCTCTCTATGCATGAATTTCCATACTAACTGTGTGGTGCAGCACAGAAACAAATTTTTGTAAGAAGGAAGACGTTTTCTGAGACTTTCAAACTTTCGCAAATTCATTCTCATTCCACTTTGCTTCATGTTTATTAGAAAAATACAGAGATAGAGTACTCTTGTTCTCCAAATACAATGCATTTTTCTTTCTAATTCAGTTTATATCTCTAACATTTATGAGGTTACCATGAGCTGAGGTAACTGGTGATCCAACATCCTAAAAGAGCATTCAGATATCTCCTTTATTCTTGTCGGGCTAATCTCAGGAAGTGTTAGCTTTTTTAAGGTGACAGTTATATCAGCTGCATTTTTTGTCAGTTTTTTAAAAAATATGTGTAAATCTGTGTGATACAATCTGACATTACCTTTTTTTTTCTACATTCCAAAGTAGAGAGTATATGGTTTTATTTTCACTTAGAGTGAATAAAAAGGATTGATTCTTCTGAAATCCCTCCTGATAGGAACCAGAAACAAACGTAAGGGAATGCAGATACAAGGGGGAAGGAGTAATGCCCTGCTTGTGTATAAATGGAGAAGTTCATTAGGAATGACTGGTAAGGGAAGAGTATAGCTCATGAACATATGGGAAATCAGTTTACTTCAGAGAACTGAGGGTGAAAGGAAGGGATGTCTGCTTTTTATTAAAACCTGAAGTGCATTATAATTGGCCTGAGTCTTTGCCCAGATGGCTTCTCTTACGCTGACATCTGCAAGAGTACATATAAAGCAACATTAAGAAGCTGTCTCTTGTGACAGTGTGTACACATGTAGTTCTGTTAAAAACTAAGTTCTTTGCTATCTGTAGTGCTGGTCTTTCAATAGGCATGCTGAGAAATGTCATTTGTTTGACAAAAGCTAATTATGGAACATACTTTTTACATGGAATGTTTCTACCATGTATAAGAAACCTTCTTAGGGCTTTTCACCTATTTTTGTAGGTTCTCGTTCATTCTTCATCATTCCAGGTAAATTTTTGTTTTCCCCAGAGCGAAACACAAGGTTTCTTCTTCCAGTCCTTTGTATTTTTTCTGAAGTTTAAGTGTAATTATTTTGAATTTTCGCATGTGAATTTAAGCTGTTTTCCACTGACCAGTAAAAAACTTAAATGATACTAGAACATCCATTTCCTACTAAGCTTGTAGGACAATGACAGTGAATGCAATGTAATATATCCATTAGTCTGTTCACTTGTATCTGTAATTCACAGGGTAATTTTTAAAATAAGCTGTCAACATACTGCTTCTTTCTGTGTCAGACAACAGGAAAATTAAAGTCAATGGTACCAAGGAACCTATTGAGTTTAAGACAAATCAGTGGTTTGGGGCAACAGTCAAAGCTCATAAAGAAAAAGTTGTGGTAAGTCATATGCATTTGGTATTCATTTGGAGGTAATGTTTATTTTTCTCAAATGTGTATCGTTAATAGCTCTCTATGTGTAGATTATGGAAAGAACTCTATGATTATGCATGAATTCTAAAACAGATGATGTATATAATTCAGAAAATGAAAGCAGTCTATAAAATCAGGTTGAACTGATCAAGTGAAGATGATCCCACTGCCATGTGGAAATAGCAGCATGTCATATTTTTATGGAAGTGAATTATTTTTTTTTTTAAGAGATGATGGATGTATTTTTGAGATACACGGTAACTGATAGCTATATGCTATAAATATTTTGTATGATGAAGCTTTATTTGGAATATTAAATGCAGAATGTAATGGAAGCCAAGAACCTGTGCTGAAGATCAGTTAGTAAGAGAAAGCACTGACCTCTTTTGTCACATTTACATTGTTTTGAACAATTATGTCACAGTCATGGTAAAACAGCTGCAAAAAAGTAATGATAAAAAAGATCCAAATCAAGATTGCTGTCAAAGTGCTATGTCTGTTTTCCAGTTTCACTGAACATTTTACTTGTATTGACAGAGGACCCCAGCAGGGGGCAAGTACTTTTATTCCTTAGTAAAGTAGTGGTGATGCTGCTTATACACAGATATTTTATACTTAAAATTTTTGCACTAAGGTTTACATTGAAAATGTCACTGACCTAATTGTCTTAAGGATTATTAGTTTGGTCATTAGTTTTAATAATTTTTACAATTGCAAAGCAACAATTTGTGTCTTGGGATTTGCTTAAAACTTCCAATTATCACTTAAGAAGTAGCCATAAGGGAAGAAGTATCTAAAGGAAATGCTTTCCCTTGTGTAATATGGCCTTGTGGTTAACTTAGGGAAGGATTTTGACATGAAACAGGTAATGAATAAAACATCACCCTGTTCTGTTACAGAGCTAAGTAAATGTAAAAATTTTTTTAAAATCTAAAAATAGATGAAGATTTTTCCTTTTGTGTACTCTACTAAACAACAGCTCACAAACTGAAATAAAATAGTTCTTTACCACCATTTGCTGAATCTTAATTGAGTGAGCAGAAAACCTCATCACTAACTGATGTTCTGTGTCTGTAGTGACCAAACTTTGTTTTGCTTTTGATAACTCTTCTCAGGCTTTGTGAATCAGAGATATAGTCAGCACTCTTCAGGTGAAAATTTGAACAGCGAAGGTAGAAAACTTTCTCTTTGAAGCTTTGTAAACTGAAAGGAAAGAAAAAAAAATGTCATCAAATTGTCAGAAACTTTTTTAAAACTACAAATGTGATAGTAAATTGCATTAGGTCAACGTTTATGATTATATTGAGTTCTTGTTTCAATCTGCTTTGCTTGATGTCAAATGTACCTAAAATCACTCTCACAGGACACATATTCCTCTTTGCTGTACATTGGTTTGCTCTCAGTTTTAATCTGTGAGATCTTCTAGGCAGGGGCATTTTAAGTGTCCCTGTTCCTTAAACCAGTGTTCCAGAAGCTCTGACTTTTTTGTTAAGCTCTGAGGAGCACAGTGGTTCATCCAGCCGGAACTGATTGCAGAACGAAGCCTTACACAGTAATGTGAGTAATAACAATGCTTTGCCAGAGGTAGACAGATTTCTAATTGGAAAAGTAAGACAAGATAGGACATGAATGAAGGACTTGTTTGTATCTTACGGAGGCAAGGTTGTAGGAAAAAGTAGTGTCTTTCCCTCCTGCCCTCTCCAATTGAAAAGTTTTAGGGCACAGGAACTCCTGAGGAATGACTTGCATACCTGACAGCTTTTCTTTTTTATGTTTCCAATTATTTGAATTACTTTCAAAAAAGATAATGTCTCTCTCTACACAACTTGTATATCTTTTATTCTTATGCTGTCATGTTTGTAACACCACTACTGTAACACGGAAGATTAAACATTAGTTCACTGGCCAAAACTTGCTTACCAAAAACCTGTTTACTCAGAGGCTGCTGAATGCATTATAGCTGTATCATCTCTCCAGAGATTTTAACCAGGAGTTTATAAGAAGGCAGACAATCTGATGATTGTGATAGACAATATGAGACAACACCCTGACAAATCTCCTTCTGCTGAGTAGAATCATAGCAGTTCTGCTGCAATGGCCGTTATCTTAAAACATACCAGGACAGAAGTAGGAATGTCTTCAGCAACGTGTATGTAACCTACATCTTAAACTATGGGATCAAGTCCTGTGTAATGAGCAGTAATAGAGCAAACATATTACTTGTCAAGTAGAGTTAGAGGATATTTGTAACATATGCTTAAATGTGACATTTCACCTGCTAAGGGCTGTAAGTGAAAGATCAGACTGTGCTTTTCAGGTTATAATGAAATTATAAGCAGTGGTCCTGCATTTTCTTCTGTCAATACATTATGATCATTGCTATATGAATGATACAATACCAGAGAGAATCCTTGTACTTTGTTTATTAAAAACCTACATTTACCAGATACGTGAGTTTGTGAAAAGTATGTGACATCATTTCTGTTTTGATAGGCTTGTGCCCCCTTATATCATTGGAGAACCCTTAAAGATAGCCCTGAGAAGGACCCCGTTGGCACCTGCTATGTAGCGGGTCAGAACTTCAGTGCCTATGCTGAATATTCACCTTGTCGCAACAGTAAGTATTAATAGGAACAATCCTGTGTTGGAGGAATTGATATTGCCCTCAATGTTTTCGTTCTTTCAGTCTTCACACAGTCTTGGTTGAATGGACATTACTGTGTGACATTATTGCATTGATGAGAGTTTAAAGAGAAATCGACATTAAATTATATGCCTGCAATTGGATGCTTTATTGTATAATTGAAAGAGGAGAAATTAAGTAAATTAAGCTTATGTAGTTATAGTGATCTAATTGATTTAATGTAAATGGCTTTAAAATGTAGCAAACAGACCTAGATAAGAACCAGACAGCATTTTAAACCAATTATTCATGCTTCTGCTGAGTATAAATCACTCATCACAGGATCACCATCTGAAGACCAGACCCTGCACAGAAACACACACGCCTGTATCACCATTCATGCCAGTATCATCCACAATAGCTCATTTATGAATGGCTTCCAGCATGGAAGAAAGCCATGCACATGCACTGCTGTTTCACACCCTTCTCTGTGCTGTTCTGAGGATGTGGTAGCCATCTCTGGGCCTTACTTGTTGGGGAATAGGGAAAAAACTGCATGTGCATTTAGAGCCAAGTTCAGTTACCTAGAAGTCTGCAGAAAATGCCACACATGAGATTATATCAGTCATTCATCCTGTCCTTAGACATCCTGTATCTAAGTGTTTATGATTATTAATACCCTTATTACCTCAGTGCTTCAAATTATTAAAATTAATACGAAGTATCCAGTGACTTTACTGAACTTTGGACTGGGCTAGATCTACAACAGTTTCTGCACTCACAGATCAAAGAACTGTTCTTTCAGTTACTTTTCTGAAGTTGATTTGTGTGAGGTAGCAAGTAGGATGGCCTCACCTATCCTGCCAGGGGAAACCCTCACAGCAAAGCTGTGATTGTTCAGTTTAGCTGAGATAGGTGTAGCTGTTTCAAGTTGCATGTGCTAGCTGATAACACCAGAAGTCTGAATGTAGTTCCTTGTCACAATACCCCTTGCACAGAGCCCCTGCAATAGCAGCTAGCTTTCTTGCCATGTGCACACAGGCTGATTTCAAAACACACCTTTTAACTGTTCGTCTACTGCAAACTGTGCTCCTACCTTCGAGTTTCTCATGTGTTATTTTGCCGAGAAAGTAACAGGCATTTTACAGAAAAACTAGGCACGCACTTCACATAATTTAAAGGTCTCTTTCCTGTGAAGATCTAGAGACAGCATCATATCATGTAGCTAGATTTTCCTGACGTCTGACAAATGAGTGATAATGCTTTTCATGGTCTACCAGAAAATCTGCACGCCTATAGCGATATGAGATATTTGCATGTACATTCAGCGTTGCTTTGTGGCTTTCCTTTTCTGACATTGTTGGATAGCTCTAAACTGAGTTGTGCTATGTCTTTCTTTTAAAGCCTAATCCTTGTCCCTGGATGAATAAGTACAGAAAAAAACAGAATCTGTATGAAATGGTAACCGTAAGATCTGCTTCATGTACTTCTGATGTCTCACTGGGGCTTTGCCAAAGGCTCACATCATTTGAAGAGAGAGTTCAAGTTTCTGCTCTCAATTTCCCAGTCCTGCTGACTTCCAACACTCCAGCTCTCATAGGAAAGCCCCAAAATGCATGCCAACTCGCTTTGTACAATTATATAAGGATTTGGAGACTAGAAATAAAAATGGACAGAAGCAGGAAGGATGTTTTTGCATGTACAAATGTGCATCCAAAATTATATTACACTTCAGTCCTCATTGAGCAAATGTGTATCAATTGAAGGGCTGGCCCTCATGAAGGACATGTGCCCCTTTCCCTTGGCATAGTACAGATAATGAGGATGATGAGGATGTTGTCTGAACATTGACCCATGCTGACCCATCCACTTTGTCAACATTTTTTGAGAATGCCCTAGTAAACACTTGGTTTTGTGTTTATGGGAGAGCAGACTGTGGTGACCATTCGAGGATTTCTAGTTAAGTTGTTTATTTTTGTATCTCCAGCCAAATTCAAACCGAATCCTTGGTAGCTGTTGCAAGGGTCCTTCCTTGGCAGTGAGAGGAGAAAGTCCCAATTAACTGGTCCTATTTTTCAAATTCTTCACAAGGGGGCTGCGTGTTTAGGTTCCTGTAGAAGGCCTTGATTTACTCTGCATCTTCTAAAAAAGAATACACATCTTTTAACATATTTTGGTAGTTTTGCGTTTACAGCCTTACAGCTCCAGAGGTGTGTAAGCTGTCTTCCACATGCACTATAAAATCAATAAAATGCTTCTACCTTCATAATTGCAGGCAATGCAGATCCTGAAGGACAAGGCTTTTGTCAAGCAGGTTTCAGCTTAGATTTTTACAAGGTGAGATTCTGCTTCTGAAATACTTTGACCAAATGTAATTCTAATATATCCCCAGTGTTCAAGCACTGTCTTGATGATCAAGAGTTTATCCCCATGCTGTTACATATGGAAAGTTTTGTGAATTTGTTGCAAGTTCTTTCCTCCTTTGCAATCTTCAAACTTTCTGGTTTCATTAGTAAAAGAAATACTGCAATAAGCACCTGTTTATCTCTTTGCAGCACTCCAACCGCACTCTACTCAGTCTGTCTTAATAAATAATTAGGCAAAAAATTGTATGTGCTTCTATCTCAGTGTGTCACGCTTGTGATGCTTTCCAGAGACTTGACTTTCAGGAAGAAACGGGCAGGCACCAGCTAGTTTTTGAAAGTTAAAACAGCTTGTATAAGGATGGTTTGGAGGCAGACTAGTCATTGCGTAAGACCATTCTCTTGTGGAGGTGAAAGTGCTTAAGGGAAATAGCTAGTTGTTCTTAGATGCCAGGAGGGTCTAGAAACAATATTGTAGGGCAAAGCAGAAACTTTGCAACTGTTGTTATTATCTGTGCCATTATTACAGCACTAGGACCTCACATAACTTTGTTCATTGCCATTATTTTCAGTGTTCTGCAACTACATTGTTATTCACGTTATTAACAGCTGAGGAGTAACGACTTCATTGTAGGGTAGACAAAAGTATACTTCTCTATAAAGCATTACTGTTGCTTCATTGAGTGTGAAGACCCTCTTTTACTCTGGCTTTGTTTTGTTACAAATACCCAGCACTTTTTAGAATGCTATGCTAGTGCTGAAAAAACTGGGGCTTTCATTCAAGTGAAGATGCATAGGGTGATCTTAACTTTATTTAACTCTGGATTTTCTTGCACGTCCATGCACCTACATCCTTTCCTTGAACAGTGCTATTCTCCGTTATCATGATTCTGATATTCTTTTGGTCATTTAAATTGTTTTTCCCATGCATGTTTAATTTCGTTGTGTTCTTTTGTTGTGTAATTTTATTCAATTCTGCTTTTTGTAGAATGGAGACCTGATAGTAGGCGGGCCTGGTAGTTTTTATTGGCAAGGTATGTTCATCTGGCTGGTTAACTTGATCTAAGAAGTGAAGCAGAAAATATTGTGGAAAATGTTGTTCTAGATTTCCATTGTTTTCTCAGTTTAAGATAACCAGTCTCTAGTCTTATTTTCAACAAATATAGATCAGAAGAATTGCTTAACACGCCACTGAGTATAAAAATAAGTCAGGGAAAATTCAGGATGTAAGTTGTATAGGAAATGAAACAAATAGAAATAAGTATTTTTATGTTGGCATTTTAGCACATTTGTCATGTAATTAATAAGCTGACTTCTCCAGAAATATTGCAATTTTAAAAATAACTAATATTTGTACAGCAAATGTAATATTTTCAAAGTTTCTGTCACTGTTTATTTGTGAACACAACCCTTTATTGCTATCTGCATATATTTTTAGCTCATTTGTGGCATCAGTGTAGATTCCAAGATGTAGTTTCTCATGTAGATAAAACGTGAAGCGGTTTTGGTAAAGAGTTAACAAGGTATTTTTGCTTTAACCTGTTTTGACATTTATGATATAGCTGACTCCCAGACTCTGCCTACCAACTTGCCTGTTGTCAGCCTCATTGATGTGTGTTTTTGCATTGCCATTAAAGGAGGAAGATCTAGTTGATTATGATTGTAGGGAATTCATAGCTTTGGATTCTCCATAGAGAAATTGCTTCTGTTGATCTACTACATTTGTACAGTACAGCATCAAAAGAGCTGAAAATGTTTGACTTGAGTTTGAATCAGCACCTTGAAATAGGTCTGGAGATGTTTTTGTTCAATAAAGTCTCAATGCCTTTTGTATCGATGTATGTGTACTCTTGAGACTTTCAGGGTAATAATGGGGAAAGATTGAGAGAAGATGTCTGCTCTTTGCATCTGTGCTATATTATCCCTTCAGCTCTATTCTGACGTTCTGCTAGCCCTATTTTGTAGAAACTGGCTCTCTTTTGTGTCCCTTTTATTTATGAAGTTGTTTGAATCCAGGTCAGGTAATCACTGCAAGTATTGCGGATATCATTGCAAATTATTCCTTCAAGGATATTCTGAGGAAACTGGCACGAGAGAAGCAAACAGGAGTGGCGCCACCGTCATATGACGACACTTACATGGGTAAGCTAAGCTCTCTATCAGTTAGCAATATGTTCTAAAAGCGTTGGGCTTATATAAATGTGAAAATGAGCCCTAAACTAACGTGAGAGGGTTTGAACGTGTTTTGCCTTAAGCACAACAGCATATCTGTAGTTTGCTGGTCACTTCAATGGGATTATTAACATTCTTAAAATTATGAACAGCAACAGGGTTTGAGAGTTGAGATCTTAAACGGCTCATTAGGGTTCTTTTTAATTAATTTTAAACAATTAAGCGGAAATACAAAATTTTCCCGTTTATACCTTTTTTCATTCCAAGATGATGGATTGAGTTTAAAGTAATTAAAGACTATTTCAATATTGAATAGATAAAAGAAAATTCCGTTCTGCAGTTTTTTATACAGTACTGTACAAATACTCAATTTATTCTCTAGTGGTATTTAAGATACGATCAAAGTAAGCAATAACAAAAGTCAGTTTTAAGATATTTTATCATAAATAGGAAAAAGATTCTTTATGTACCTTTTATTAGTACTGATCTCTAGGAATTTGCATGATATTCACATATATCTGCATGTAAGACCAGTTTTTCTTCATAGAATTATGGAAAAGATGCAGTGGAATTTGAAGGTGAAGATGCATCCTTTCATCTCTGCCCATAGATGTGAAATTACAGTCCCTGATACAATCCAAAAGTCTTTACTGTGCCAATAGCAATTGTCTCACAGGTTTACTAAAGCTTCAGGAGTTACTTAACTCCGGCATTGGATATTTGTCTTCTGTATAGAGCTAAAACAGGATACTCTCACATTATAGTAGAGTAGTGAAGTAGAGTACAGTATAGTAGAGTAATGAAGACCTAAATTGGGTCAATACCTGTTAGGGCAAACCACCATAGTACCTGCTGTTTTTTTCAGATAAATTGTTAAGTATTAATGATTTAGAAGCTCCTTTTTTGAGAAAAGGGGTAGATTTGTTATCCATTCAGACCTACAGTTAATTTAGTCATAATAATGCAATAAACAATTTTCCTTTTTTCCGCACAGTTTTAGTACGGTAATGTTAGAAAATTTGCATTCTGATGATCAGATGAACAGACAAATCTGATTGTCCTTGCATATTTTTTGAAAGAAATGGTTTATTAAGTATTTTACTTGTAATTTACCTTTAAACAGGATACTCAGTGGCTGCTGGGGAATTTACTGGAGATTCTGAGCAAGGTAAGAAGCTATATACTCAAATGGAAACCATATGGCCGTGCACCTATTAAATTCCTCATTTTGGATGTCTACACAGGAACATACCTTTTATACATTTGAAACGCTGGTGAGACTTAAGCTATCTGCACCCAGCATTGTCAGAGGCAAATATTTCCTTAGAAGGTATGGCATAGCAGAGCAGAATTTAAGTAACCCAAAAAGTCCGAATCTGTCGTTATGGTATCATGCCCATGCATCTGTTCAGTAGTTAGAGCTGCAACAGCATGGTAGGTGAAGCCATCCAGGCTCACTTAATTTAGGCAGTTTGGTGATCAGTAGTAACAAGCAGAGCCAACAGTGCAGTCTTGTACAGTCTTTCGGTCCATACTCGCCTGCATAGAGGCTGCTGGACCTTAGCATCTGGCTGCAACGTGGCTTGGAAATGTCTGTATGTGCTGAAAGCACGCTTCTGACTGCCACACAAACATCACAGCCTAGGCTAGGAGATAACATTCAGCTGCTCTGGACAAAGACATGGGCCTGCACTGGCATGGTAGCTCTTGTTGGTGAAAGCAGCTCTTGGCTCTATAAAAGCTTCCCTAGTTTCAGTTCATATGCCTTAAGGATGGAGTGCCTGGGGCAGATCGTTAGCTGACTCTTTTCATACACAGCCATAATGCAGTAAGAACAAGTTCCCTGTGCTTTTGCTCCTACCCCAAGCCTTATATTTAATGGCAAGAGACAGAAGAATTGAATTTCTTTTATTAAAACCCAGGCTTAGAGGCACAAACTGTTATGCAGCCAGAAAGAAAAAGGGTATTTGTAAGGACAGTTATGTTTAACTTGTATACTCCAGTGTGTGATGCGACAGTCATTTCTGATTCCATCAATCCACAGCTGTCAGGTAACCAGCTGAATTGTGCTAAGAACTTTATTAAACTGTGCTACACTAGATAATGCGAGGCAGAAAGAGATCTCTGGATGAGTGTATTCCACGGTTAAGATGTAATATTTCATGCAACTAGATGCACTGAATAAATATTAAAATCTTATGAATTAATATCTTGAAGTGATTTGCAGGTGTTTCTGATACAGACAACAAACCAAAATCCTAAGAGTTATATATCAAGGAAGAATTTAAGTGGCATGTGAGGCATGTTGCATGCACCACTGAGATAGCATAAGTAGCTCACTGTTGATCATTTATCTTTTCAGAGCTGGTTGCTGGAGTCCCAAGGGGAGCACAGAACTTTGGCTATGTATGTACTGGACATTTTATCCTTTCTACAGTGAGAATGCAGTTAGGCCATTTGGAAGATTAAAGTCTACATTATATTTTCTGTCTCTTTGATCCTAAACTTCCTAATGAAAGAAAACTGCCACTGACTTTCACCCTCAGGCTTACCTGGCTGGGATGAAATGCCTTACTGATTTGGGCTTTGAATATTAGGCACTTAGTCCTTTCTGTAGTTTGTTTTCAATAGCCAGCTACAAGCGTGCTTTGAGTATTACTAGCATCCCTATACCTGCTGAGCGTTATCAGACCTAAGCTTATTCACGTGTGCATTTCATGTGCATATTTCATGTGCTATGCTGTGTCCACAGTGGAAAGAAGTCCAGGTTCAGATTATTCATACTCGGTGTTTATTTTCAATGCTCTTAAGCGTATACACTGAATACCAGATGCAAAGAGTCATGATATGCAGTTAGAAATGAAGTTAGAAGACAATGTGTGTATGTGGATATATCTTTTAACACAAAAGAAAGTTTCAGAACTAACTTGATTGGGAAACAGAGATCCCAGCCACAGACACGTTCTCCACTTTTGTGGACCTAAAACTCCTTGTGTCTCTGGAACTTATTAATAGCATTTTTCAGAGGAAAGATGTGTATGTGTATGTATATATATATCTCTGTAAGTATGTATTTATGTTTGAAGTTCATGTTTTCATGCATACTAATATACTCACTGATTAGCTGATAGTCTTTGGTTTGCTGCTGTTCACAGTGTCCACTAAGGAAGGAAAATAATTTTTTTCCCCGTTTTATTCATAGAGAACATGAAACTCGTAAAATCTTATTGATTTGTTCAAGATCATACACGAAAACCGTGGTGAAACAAAAGAATTGGGTTTTTTGGCCGCTTGAGCCATCCTTCCATGTGTCAAATTAGTTTGCAGTGATGTTACACTGTAAGATCTTCATGTGTGCTTGAAACTTTCCATGTTTTTCTGTTACCAGGTCTCAATTATTAATTCCTCAGACTTGACATTTATCCAGAACTTCACTGGTGAACAGGTAATGGCAAACAACTACATGATGAAATACTCTAGAGGATATACTTTAATTAACTTAGTTTCAAGAATATATAAAACATATTTCTGAGTTAATGACCATAGAAACAAAGAGGATTATGAGTAAAAAATTTTTAAGAATTGACATCTGATATGAAAGCCTATCTGTTGTTTTTTATTTCCAGATGGCGTCTTATTTTGGGTACACTGTTGCAGTATCTGATGTTAACAATGATGGGTATGTTACCAAATATATTCAGCTTCACTGAACATTCATAAAAGCAGTGCCTGATATTTATTAATAAACATAGGTTTTCAGGTGCTTCATACCTCAAAATACTTTTCTTGGCTTCTCTGCTTTTCTATTTTTAGTTTTTCATGTAGGCTTATTTTTGTGCAAACACAAACAAAACACAAGGCTTAGTTTGGGTGAGTTTATCTTCCTGAATATTTATTCAGCATAGCAGAGTGGGAATGTCCAAAGTCTTAGAAAACAGATCCGGGTAGAAGGACAGTGAATAAACAGTGCTAGCTACTGCTGGGAAGAGATAGGTGAAAGTCAAAAGTTCATTCTCCCATTCTCAAGTGCTGGTAAATCTTCTTACTTGTGGACCGTCCATAGCTTCACTTCTCAGTTTTGAAAGCTTTCCAATATCATCAGCTCCTCATTCCAGCACGTGCTGGTTGACCATCCATCTTCATCATCCAGAGGACCAAAAAGTGTTTATGGCCCCTAGTTGTTATGACAGCCGTTGTGCTTGTCTGAGGGAGAATGCTGCTCAGCTCCCAGGGCCATGCCCAAGACACTCGGGGATTTCAGGCACTGTAGAACAAAACGCTTGCTAACTTTGAAGTCACGTAAAGTCTAATTAAATGTTTAGAATATCAGGACTTTAGTAAGTGAATGTTGATACTAGCTTTCTAGAAAGGAGATAAAGATCCCTGAAGCTTAAAGCCTTAGAAACCTACACAAAAGTGAGCCAGGATTATATTTAGAACTGTGGTGTACTCTTGCCTGTTGCAAAATGTCTCAGATGTGTCTACTTCATATTCTTTTCTTGTGGTTATTTCTTATTAGGTACTTAGGTTTAGTGCAGTAAATAATTTTTCTGGGCTAAATTATTGCTTCCTGTCAGTGACTAGTGACACTTTCAAGAGTGAGGGATACAAGAAAAGACAAAAATAACAAGATGATAACATGTTATTGCAGTTGCAAAACAAACAAACAAAATCTTCAAAAGCTTCTGTGGTGGCTTCATAGTACTCAAATCTTTCCAAGTTTCTGAGTTCAAATTTTCTCATAGTACCATAGATTTTGAAAATTCTTATTTTTATGAGATAGTCAGGATTAATTTAGTCTTACCATAATGCATTACTAATGTGAAAGGGTGGAGAAACATTAATCTAAGTTACGGCAAACACTCATTAGGCTTTTGAGGAGCTTGCTATTTAACTTCTCACTGAACCAAACTATTTCCTGTGCAGGTTATTTCCTGTGAACCACAGGGTTACTTGGCAGGTCTCATATCTTATATGTGTACCTCTAAGACCACAGTTTATGTCAATACTATAATCAAACTGCTGTTGAGGCCTGTGTGGTCTCTCGGTCTGTATCTTGAAAGACATCTAATTACTCTCTCTGAGATCCAAACATCCCACAGAAAACAAAACACAAAAAGCTCTACTTGATAAACATGTCTGATTAGATATGTAGTCTGCACACATAGTCAATAGAAATATTTATCTGAAAGGGAAAGTAAAACAGAGAGAAAAAAAAAAAAACAAAAGGGAAATGACCACTTCAAATTCACTTGGCTTTTTGTGCAGCTAAGGATAAAGGAGGTAGTGACGACCTTGTCAGTACAAGAAACCTGATTAGGTTATATGCTGAAAAGGTTACTAGGAATGATGCTTTGCTGAAATAAGGCTGAAGACATGGCTCAAAGATTAGGCTTATCCTAGGAAAAAAGATCTGTAGACCTTCTGCTCCAGCAGTTCTGCAGGTGTTCCAGGTTGACTCTTGCAGTTTTATCTGCACCTCATCAGGATTATAGGCAGAACAGGGATATTGAGGATATTGTTTGAACTACCGTTTAGTTGCCCACTGCTAATAATAAGAAATCCACAATGAAACTTCACAAATCAAGCTTTGCCATCAACTTATAGACTACATTCCTAGTAAAGAGGATAAAAGAGAATGCTTTCAACTTAGACTGAAACAGTCCAATAAAAATAGTGGAATAAACTGTTTACTGGTCTTTTATTTGGCCTGTATCAAAGCTTCTCATAGTTACACTTTGACCTCTTGACATTTCCTATACTCTTGCTTTTTATTACTCAGCAGGATACAAAGAAACTGAATACAGTCTCAGCAGGTGGTCAGCTTGTGATTTTTACATATTTTTTTTTATTGGAAGGGAAGTAATACTGGCTGGTTATCTTTCTGTGCTGGAATGAAAATAAATATATCATTTATGTTAACCGCGACATCTTAGTGCAGTAATGAAATAAATCTAATGAACCAATTCAAAATATCACTGCAAAGTGGACTATGCTTTATAGTTTAATATTACTGTCCAGTGACTTTTGCTTTCGCTTTGCTCTTATGGCCTTTTAAAGGGGATCACATCAACCTGAATTTGGCTTAGAACTCAGATTTCATAAATATAAACTCCTACAATTTAAAAGCCAGTTGAAACATCCTCCTTCACCAGCAAAAATGCATAACTCTAATCACATAGGTACTTAAAACCCAACAAATGACCCCCCTTGACTGCTTGATGTCTAAATACTTAAACTGTATGAGCAAGAAAGTAAAATTTACTATAAAGCATGGTAAGTGGCAATTGCTTGCTTATTACCCACTTGGAGAGAAACCAGGAATAAGTACAGAAGGATCAGAGAGAGCAGGATAGCTGAAGAATCCTTGCTCTCTGGGTACACTGCTGTGACTGTAAAAAAAAAAACCCAAACCCTAAACCCTAGAATTGCCTGAGGGAGCATTCCTTCTTTCAGAGGACTTTCTTAAGCAGCTTGCCTCGACCTACAGAGCTCAGCACTGACAGAGAAGGGGGAATGACAAGAGGGCAAGGAAAGGACAGCTTTGATGTGGATGGGACATGCCAAGACCTGAAGGGAAGCTGAACTAAGTGCTGCAGGTGTTTCAGGTAGCTCTGCTGCCTGTAACCAGTTTAGAAATAGGTCAATGTAATTTGGATGACTGCCTTCCTCCCACCTTTCCCTCAGCACATCAGAAGATGAGCCATCTTAGCTACTGAGTTCTGGTCCCTGCTCCCTGGACTATTCATGCATTTTGTACAATCATTGTAATTTATTCTAACAAAGTAGAAATTTTTCTAGAAAAATAACCCAACACTGTGCACTTCCAGCCGAGATGCTGTGATTCCTGCGCAAGAGACTCCAGCTCCTGTCTGGTTGCCTCTCTCCTTTCACCATTTATACACTCTGGATATTGCTCTATGGACCATAGTTTCAAAGGTGTCTAAATATCTACTTATTTTACATTGATGTACTGGGAGCTTTCTGGCTCTGAATCTTTTGGTTCCTTAGCACCTCTAAAAAAATCTTCTCTTAGTCGTACAATCCTTCATTTACAAAATATTCGTTGGAGTCAAGCTCATCTTTTACTTAATGGTTTATAAAACACATAACACCATGAGGTCCCAATCTTACTGGGAATATCTGGACTGCAATGTAATAAAATAATAATCGAAGATAGTGCTACTGTGTAATGCTTTCAGTACATGGCATACATAAAATAAATTGTAAAAAAAAATAGCGTTCATGGTCTGTTTGTGTTGTTGCTATCGTTTCATGGCAACTATTTCAGCTGACATTCTGTCCCAACCATGAACATCTTCCATTAGTAGAGGAGAACTTTTGATGTTTAATGTGAAAGGAGAATCCCACCTTTGATGACAAGTCAGCGTCTGCTTCCTTCCTTTTTTAGTTATTCTTGCCATGGGGTAAAATCTGACATATAAAGAATAGAACAACTGTACCAAAGTGACCCAGCGTTTTGAATTACGGTTTCCTTTATGGAAACATGCTATAAAACTTAATAGAAAAACGACATTTCTAGAAGTACTTTGTCACAATTTATAGAATGTGTTAAGTTCTACAATGTGATTAAAAGGCTTCTAGATGAGATACTCTGTACTGAATTTATGGCATATATCTTAGAACCATAGTATATATCTATGGCAAAGTAGTATCTGAGTTACTCCTAAATCATACAAGGATTTTTCTATCAGGATTGGGAAAAATGATGTAGTGCAATTTTACTAATTGGTTTACTAATGGATAAAGCCTTTGTGAAAACATCACTATTGAGAATATGATGAGAGCAGAAAGTTTTCTACAAATTTTCTACAAGTGTTACAAAGTTTCAAAAAAGTTTCATATTAGAGAAAGATAATATGTTTTCCAAATTAAAAATTCTAGGATCAAGTAGTACTAGTTATTTGCAGTAACAGATTTCCTTAATATGGATGACCAATATCCACTGAAGATAACAGGAATTGTCCTATTAGTTTATATGGGCTTGAGCAACCTTCAGAAATTAATCTGATACTATCATTTCGTATCTCAGAATAATCTGTTAAAAATATTTCTGCTTGTTATGTGTCTATCAGTCTTGCTTGATTTTATTTTTTACTGTCTAGTAAAGGGTCCCTGCTAAATAAATATTTATAACAAGTTTCGAAATGCTCTCATTTAGAAAAACAACATGCAAAATATCCTTTGATTAGTCTGTCTTCTTTTACTGATTCTTCTTCAAGTACCAAAATGAGCAGAAGGACTTTTCCCTCCAAGCTTCATATTTTTGTGATTTTATTATATCCTTTCTCTTTAATACTTAACACAGCAAATTATGTGAGCACTGCAACTACTCATCTCATGTACCTAATATTCAACAGAAGCGTTTTCAGAAATAAAGCTTTGGCTTTGTCTCCCAGCTTCCGTGAATTAGCGGTGAGACATTCCCTATTAGTTGATGCACTACCCATGTTTCTTGTATATTACTTCAAAAATCTGCCAGAAAGTGGCAATTTTCGTTCTGTCATTCACTTACTGGTGTATAATTTTTAAAGGCTAGATTTTGTACTAAAATTTGTCTCTCACTAGCACTGTTAGCAGGATAGATCTACAGAATTCGTTCTAATCACATGGATCCCCTCTGAGTTAAATTCCTGACCTGCATCATTGACTGCAAAGTATAGCTTTTCAGTGTCTATTGTGGGCTTAAATTGAAGTGCAAGAAACTCTGCTTAAACCTAGGAAGAAACGTTTTTGCTATGAGGGTGATCAAACACTGGAAGCGATTGCCCAGAGAGGTTGTGAAATCTCCATCCATGGAGATATTCAAAACTGGAGTGGTCATGGCCCTGGACAGCCTTCTGTAGTTGACTGTGCTTTGACCAAGTGTTTGGACTAGATGGACTCCAAAAGTGCTTTCTTATCTCAGTTAGTCAATGACTCTGTGATAATTATCAGCTTCCTTTTTAATAAATGCATGAACTGTGTTGATTACACTAAATCTCTCAGTAACGCTGTTTTTTGTTTGACTGTTCCAGTTTAGATGATATCTTAGTTGGCGCCCCTCTTTTTATGGAACGAGAATTTGAGAGCAAGCCTAAAGAAGTTGGGCAAGTTTATCTGTACCTGCAAGAAAGTGCTTTCCTCTTCCGAGATGCGCAAATTCTGACAGGCACTGAAGTGTTCGGTAGATTTGGCAGTGCAATCACCCACCTTGGAGATCTTAATCAAGATGGATATAATGGTAAATTATATGTAATGTAGTAATATATATCTCTGTATAACATTGTAATTAAAAATGGCTAAGCAGTGAATTTCGAAGTGTCTGTGCAGTGGCTGAAAAAAGCTTTTTAACATGTAACTGCCTTTGAAAGTCTCGAGATTTTACACTAATCCTAATGAAACTGAAATGGAGAGCTTAACTATAAGAGGGCAGTCATATTGATTACAGTGCTGTTTTTTACTAAATATTAGCTTGCTCATTTGAATAAAAATGTTGTCTGTTGTTTTATGACTGTAATTTCATTTAAATGTTTAGTGAAGATGTTGCATTTGTTTAAAAGCAGAGTTCTCCTTCTGTCCTCAAATGCTTGGATGAGTTTGAGAATTGAATGAGATTCAATAAATGGAGCATTTTGCCCACAATAGAAGAACTGGACAAGAACAAACGTCCTATTTTAGAATCAGACTTCCATTAGTACTTAGGCACTGAAAAAATCAGGTGCATAATGGGACCTTTTTCAAATGCCTATAGCATGTACACACAACAAAATGTTCGTGTAAGTTAACTGGGAGCCTAAATTCAAGAAAACAGTTCAAGTAAACTAACTTGCTTAATTATTTGAGATAGCCTGGCTGCCTTGAGCTCCTAGAGTTAGCCTCCTAGTCATAGTCAGTACCACCCTGATTTTCACTGCGTGCATTTACTTACTTCTTATTTTCAGGATGTTAGGGATCTGCAAAGCAGGCATCTCTGCATCTAAAACTCCAAGGGGTTTTTCTTGGGGGAGATATTTTGCACAGTAAACTTAAAGATTGTTGGCCCACTAAGCAAAAATTAATGGACTTAGCTCCTCCTTAACTTGAGGGCTGTTTTTCACAGTACTCTAGCCACTAGACTCTAGGGCAGCGTTGCCAATGTGTGGCTCCTGTGCAAGGGATAAGTCATGTGTAGGAGCCATAGTGGGCTTCAGGGAGCACAAAATCTGAATTTCATCCTTTGGGAAGAAGCCACTGGATTGTGTCTGCTGAGAATACCCTCACTGGGTTCTCCTGGAATTCCACCATGGAGTTCAGCCCAGCTCGACTCTATAGTGGAGACTTCCTGTTTTCTACCTATGAACAATAGCAGATGCCCTCAGCTTCTCTCGGCAGGGAAGGTTGGTATCCCTGCTCTCCAGCGTTCTGGTAAGGAAGGGAGGGGACATTCCTGCTTTTCTCTCTCACTGTATAGAGAAGGCTAAGAATAATCTGGAGCCAAAGTCTTCTGCTTCATAACTGAAGATGTGAGTTATAGAACTTTGGTGCGCTCTTGCCTTTAGAGTGAAGGTACAAATTTCAGGTGCTGAAGTCAAGTTTAATAAAGGAAGTCCAGCATCAGCTCCTAGAGGAGAACCTGAAAACAAGAACTGTAGATACATATCCTACTCTAGTGTTTCCTATTGGCTAGCTCAGCTAGTGTGGCTTTTGAATCTCAATCTAGACACACAATTATCTCCATGTCCCATGGGTAGGAACTGAGAAGAGCATTGTGAGTTCCACTTCTTGGATACAGCACCTCATTTTTAAGGATTTCAGTGCTTAATTGCATAATGCCCAGGGCCTCCTCTTAAATTTCTGACTCAGTACTATTTCTACCTCTCAATGAGATGTTGGCTCGACATAGATGAAAATGCTATATTCCGTTGTTCTCTTTACCATACTAAAACACTGGATGTTTGAGGGGAGTGGTTTTTTTTGGTCTATGTTGAATATTTTACCTGGAGAAAAAAAAAATTCTAATAGCTGCTTCTTATTAATTAGGTGATAGAGGAAATCAAGGAAAATTTGTGTCTGTTTAAAAATATGGAAGTAGAAGCAGGTATTAATTAGATCTTGCTTTATTAAAGCTTGTGAAATGCCCTGCCGAATATGGTAGAGGAATCAGTGTGGACTGGCTACTTAGTATAATGCAATTATCCCTTCATAAGATGATTTTATAAGCTTTTGTCATGAAAGTTTGACGCAGAAAAGGCACTACAAACATCTTTGTATGTTTGCCTTAAAACTAGAATCCATACAGAAGTACAGAAGGTTTAAATTCTTACATGTATGTAGCACAAGCCATTTATGTCTGTTTTCCTTCAGGGACTCAATTTTTGCTTTATTTTAATTGTGCCTATTCTTTTTATTCTTTTATTGAACTGCAGACATTGCTATTGGTGCACCATTTGCAGGAGAAGACAGAAGAGGGAAAGTGCTCATTTACAATGGATACAGTAACGGGTTAAATGCTAACCCTTCCCAGGTTCTCAATGGAGCCTGGGCCTCACAGTCCATGCCTTCAGGATTTGGCTTCACTCTTAGAGGAGACTCAGATGTAGATAAGAATGATTACCCAGGTAAGATTTTTTTCCATTAGAAAGGGAATTTCATACTTCCATTCTCTGGAAAATGCATCATGCCTAAACCACTCCCTTTGGAAGGCAGAGGTCAGAATAAAGAATATACATTTTTGGATAGTTCTAGCTTGCTTTCCTGAGAGTTAAAATCAGATGAAACAAATACTCCCTTTCCTGTCAAAAGACATGATCAGAAAAGCAAGAAAGGGCTTAAATAGTTACATTAACATAAAACATGTGAAGTTTATAATAAAAACCTTAACCCTTTCCCTCATTTCCAAAAATCGAATGCTCTCAGCTTATTGAACTTGTGAAGTCTCCTCATCCTGGCATTCTTTCTTAATTAAAAACATGTTGTGCTGTAGAAGAAGGGATTGACTTGGTTGTGTCGCTGAGCTGGTTTTTGCTGTCTGAAGAGACACTGAGCTGTATATAAATTCTTGATGACTTTGATGGTATTACAAAAAAGCAGAGAGAGCACAAAGACATTGCTTAAAGGCAGATATTTCAATTGGGCCTTCCCATCCTTTTTATGTTTTCATTCTGCTATATGGACTTTTCGTTTTTAGGTTAGCTTTGATTCTTCCTTATTAGTTTACTTGATATGCATTCAAATTTATCAAATTCGTAACATTAGTTGAATTTTGCTGGGGAGGTATTTATTTTTTTAAGAGGCATGTTTGTAGCAACAGAAGTAGTCTGAATGTTGGAGCTAATTTAAATGTGCTTGTATTTACTGTCTCTCCTCTAGAAGCAAATCTTTCATCACAATTCAGAAACCTTAGCAAAGGTGTGCAGTAAAACATTGTATTTTGTTATTGTGAAAGGTTCATCCACAGTAAAATGCTAATAGTCTTTACTTTCCAAACTTACTGTGAAATCTCTTTAGTTAGCCCGGGTTATTTCAAGGCTAATGTTCTTAAAATTTGTGTTCAAAAGTGAAAACTGTGATTTTCCAAGAGGCAAAAATGGGATCTCTTTTACATTTTTGTGATGGATTGTAAAAATCTTGAAAGGGATGTATTTTTTAAAAGCGGAAGAGAGTTTCTGTGAAGTGGTGTTTACAATAGAAATTACAGTTTTACAAACAGAAAAGCTGACTCCAGAGTAATAAAGTGAGGCTATCACAAGGCTGAAGTGGGAGGATCTTTAGCATTTGAGAAAAGAAAGGTCTTTTAAATACTGTTCTGACTTTTTGTTTGCGTATTGTTGATGTTGCTATTAATAGTCTTTCATTGTCCATGACTAATGAGGTTCTTTTGGACAACGGAGCTCTTTATTAATGTTTCAGCATTTAAACATTTCCCACCCACAAGACCCCCCAGCAAAACCAAAGAAAACAGGAAATTACATTCCTGACATTTCTAAGATTGAAAAGATAGAGAGAGGGAAGGGAGAGATTCTTTCAGGTCTCCTTTGAGTCTCTTGGGGAAGAAAGAAGAGTAGAAGTCTAACTAGTGTATTAGCATACTTCATGTGGAGCATCTTTTAAGCTAATTTGTTAAAAGTTTGGGTGACGGGTCTTGATCTTTCTAAATGCGTACTGAAGAAGTTGTGAGATTTCTTGGAGTTGCTCTATTTGTCCTTGTTGGCTCCATTGTGCATCCTACTTGCAGAATTTCACATTGTAATATCAGCTCACTATGTGTTAGATGGTTTGAGTTTATTACATGAATTATTTATTTTGGCTAAAAACACCCCTTACATTTACTGTAACTGTCTTTTCCCTCCATCCCTCAATTGAATCTGGATGAACAGTCCAGAGTACTGGTTAGAATCTGTCAGAAAATGACAGAAGGAAACTTTACTGTCAGTCAACCGCCTCTTCCTTAATTCACAAAGACATGAAGCACCAAAACAAAGCTGTAAAAATAGCACAACCATGGCACAGTATTAGCACAAGAACAGAATGCCTTCCTATGGGAAAAAGGAAAACAAAAAGAAAGGAAATAATATGGGGAAATGCAAGTGCAGGACAAACACACTAGTTAACGAAGTAAGTAATCCGTCTTGTGTCAAAGAGCTTTTCTTCTTCACCTCCTGACGGAAGCACTGAAGGGCAGCCCTTGTACAAGGAGGAAACGAGGAATTGAACATGGAAGGAACAAGAAGGAAGTTTTATTTTAGATGTCAGCTGAGAGACAGAGTATTTACTGACTGCAGAAGGTCTAGGAAACTAGCTTTTAATTCAGTGCTTCCCAAACTACTGGTCATGACTGTGATTCAAAGCAGGTTGTGAAAGATTAGAAAAAAATCTCAAAAATTTTCTTTTAAGCTTTTTAATGGGTATGTTATAAAATCAAGCATTTTATTAAAAGAAAAAGTAGTAAAACCAAATTATACTGACCCATGACTCTCAGAAGTTCATTTCCCATAGACTGGGAAATGAGAGCCAGCTGCAGTGTCTGGTTGCAGGTATAAACATGTACTGCTACCGTCTAAGGTGAGATTCTCCAATCAATTAACTCTTCCATAGCTAGAGTTCAAGTGCGATGTGAAGACAAATGAGCTCAAAAAGGGATCAGGCTTGCAAGAAGTTCTGGGCTGACACCAGTCTGTGAGGACTCATGTAACTATAGCTGTGCTTGTAGGATTTACTCAAGCCCTTGTGCCTAACACTATTCCTGAGGCAGGCATATCCTGAGGCAGGAAACGAGAGGCTGCGAAATGTGAGTTGCTCTGCCATTTAATTTTTAATGCACTGTGTAGCATTTTTAGAGCTTTTAGAGTTTCAGACATTCTTCTTTAAATCAGACCATGTATTAATGTTCTTTGAGCAGGTCACAGACCTGGAGACCAGAAGAAACCACCTGCTTGTGTGGCTTTTTATCACAGACCACTGACCTTTATCCTGGGCTCACCGTATTGAGCCCAGAAACCAGTGCTCTTAGAAACTGAGTTACAAGTTGAGGAATACAGTTTCTAAAAAGTGAGGTTGAATCACAGTTAAATTTTTCTCCTATTGGGCAAAGGTTACATACTCTCTTGGTTGGGAGTTCAGTTCAGGCTGACATCTACCTATTAGCCTTTTGGGAAAGAGCAGACATTTGGTACACGAAGTGATGTCTTCCTCTCTTCATCCAAATGCCAGTATAAGATCAGGAAGAGAGAAGCAAATAGGGAGCATACAAAGGCTGCCTAATACTCAATGCTGTTCAAATCCCTCAGCTTTCATGTAGATGGAGGAGTGGTTTCTCCTTTCTCCTCTTCCTGCAACTCTTGGCCAGCAAAAGGAGAGAGACCACCACCTGCTTCCTGGTCTTATGTAGGAAAGGCAGAGGAAGACTCTTGTCCTCCAGCACCCCAGTTGCATAATAAATATCGGAGAAAACTGATCACGGACAGATTTCATAGTGGAGTAGCAGAGCAGTTAGGGAAGAACATAATACAGCCATATTGATACAGATGAGAGATCTGTCTAGCACCATAGCCCATCTCCAGCAGTGGCCAACAACAGATATCAAGAAAATTGTACAGTTGTGATATTTCCCAGAATATTCACCCAGCTCTAACCAACTGGAAGATCAAGATGTCCCTGAGTCAAAGGTGGCATCATAAAATTTAGTAGCCCTTGATAGACTTCCATGAATTTGACCAATCAGTTGTAGAACTTCTGTGAACTTCTGACACCCACAACAACCTGTGGCAAGGGGCCCCACAGCCTAACTGCATGTTTTCTGAAAAAGTAATGATTTTCACTGCATCCCATTCAACTCCTGAACATTCCACTGGATAGTTTCTTTGGATGTGCCCTAGTTCTTATACTGAAGAGAAAATAAACAGGTCTTCTTTATTCCACTCTTATTTTACACATCTCTGTCATATTCCCTCCCTTAGCCATATGTGTTAGCAATCCTGTGAAAGAAACCCTTATTTACTTATTTGTTCCTTGCGCAGAGGCAAATGGCACACCAGTCCTTCTGTACCAGATGATGGTTCAATTTGCCATCACTGCTGCTTCTTCTTCTTATATTTTTATGTAAAAACTGTGTGTAAAATGTGACTTATGTCTGGCTACATCATTGCTTCTAACAAAGATTTTACCATTGACCTGGATTTTGAACTTATCCAACATAAAAAAAGCTGTATCTTCCCTACCGAGAAGAAAATCAGAATTAGTACTTCACAAAACAATAATCTCAAATCTTTTTTCATTGGTAACAGTGATTATGTTTGTGCAAGAAAATAAAGTGAGCCAGAAACTGTGATCTGGTCTTGAGGCAACATGACACAGCACAACTCACCATCGTCATATGAAACCCTCCTGCCCACTGAAGCAGAATGACCATATCCAAACTGTCTTTTGGGAAAGGTCCCTGGACCAGGCAATTCCCCAGACCATTCCTCACCACCATCTGGGAGAGCACGAACTTGCACACACTAAAATCAGAGTGAAGACTGCACTAAAAATAGAAAAATCTGAACAGTACCAACACAGTGCTCAAGCTCATGCCCTGACAGTATTTATTTCAGTTGTGTAGCCACTCACTGCAGAAAGCACAGAATACAGAAAGCTGAATGGCCACCTAGTCAACATCATACCTAAAAATGAAACTTTGTCTAGCAGGCTAAGCATACAGACAGGGCATTAGCAGTCCTATCAGTGTAGTGACCATCTGTTTTCAGCTGCCCTGGCATAGATGTTATCACTGTAACAGTAACAGACCTCTGTTCTCAACATTGTGAAAATACAGGGATTTTTCTAACCTTTCAACAAGCAAGATTCAGTTTTTCTAATTAAGCACAGCCTTTGGTTTACATCTCCACAGCTTTCTAGTGAAAGACTTCTGTAAATTGTGTCATACTTGCAGATGCTCCAGATGTTATATACACAGAACTATTCCTTTGTCAACACAGACAGGGGTGGTAATATGATAGTCCCTGCTTTTCAGGCTCGGAGGTAGTGGGAAACTTTCAACCCTGGGGAAGCAGCAGAGGCAGAAAACTGAGCTGATCATCCTAACAGCTGCATCACTGTAAAGACACGCGGCTGCTCTCTC